ACCATATGCAGCATTTTAAAAAGGACATTAGCTGTGAGTCAGATTTCTTTTTGCTAGCAAGAGCTTATCAGAGTGGTACTGGCACATCTGTTTGTGGCACTCAGCCTCAAAGCCTCTCTTTCTTCTTCAGAGATTTGTGTACAGCGTTTGGAAAAGATGTACTGAAATTAGTAGAAGCTAGACCCATGATACATGAACTGCTAACTGAAGGAAGAAGATCCAAGACGAACAAAACAAAAACCCTCGCTACCTGGGCGACTAAAGAACTGAGAAAACTGAAGAATCAAGCTTGGTAAGGAATTACACCCACCTCCTTTTCGTGTTGCATAATTATGAAATTGGCTAAACTCCTGAGTCTGAAAGGGATGCTTCACAAAAGCCTTGTTCTCTAGAAGGTTGTTTCTCATTTGATTTTCTGTAAACAAGCCCCATCTGTGGTCTTGCATATCAGAACAAATACAAACAGAGAAACACGGCGAACTGCTTGGCTTTCACAAGACCAGATGCAGACTTGAGGGCTCCTTGCTTCGTGAAGTGCATCGCCCTTGCTAGTTGGGGAGGATCCTGCGCTCCTCCATATGCAGAGTAATGGAAGCCCCTTGACTCCTCAGTCCTGCTCAGAGCTCAGGGAGCATCTGGACGATGCTGTTAGTCATATGGTTCAGTTTTAGGTAGTCCTGCGAGGAGCAGGGAGTTGGACTCACCGATCCTTATGGGTCCCTTCCAACTTGAGATGCTCTCCGAGTCTGTGATTCTACTGAAGCACCTTTTAAAAGGAGCAGATTGTAGAGAGGGGCACGACGATGTACCTGCATTTGGGTGAATTAAATCTGTTGTGGCTTTGTCAGCCCACCTTGAGAATTTCCTTAGTTATCCCTATCATTTCTCTTTTAGACAATTTTTTTCCAGTTACTGCTAGTTTTATCTCCCGAATGTGGGGATTTGTGGTGTTGGGGTGGTTGGTTTTTTTTTTTGTTTGATGGGTCCTTTTTGCTTGCAGATCTGTTACCATTGGGACGACACCTGAGACCCCCACTGGAAATCTCCAATCTTTTGAAAAAACCCGGAAGTGAGGAGTGTGCACGGATGCTGAATGTTTGGGAATGAGAGGATGAGTGAGTGAGGCTTGAAACACACCACATTGAAAATCCCGCCACAGCAACAGCAGCAGCGCTGTTAGCGAGCTGAGCACTGACTTGCGTAGAAAACCTGGCATCGGCCATCTTCGGGAAGAGGGAACGACCGATTTCTGTCCAAGTAACGAGCAAGTCTCTTTCTTCTGACAGACCAGGACTAGCTTCTCTGTCGTGGCCGGCGCGGAAGGGCAACGGCCGGTTTGGAGGAGAGGAAACTGGGTTCAACTGTGGTGCTCTTTGAGGTCTGGCTTTGGCTGCTGGAGAGGGATGGAGCCTGGGTCTCCGGCCGCCTGCTGTAACCTTTGCCGCACGATGCTGTCAGTGCATGGGATAAAAGGAGGGGGTGAAGGATTTTCAGTCTAGGAGTGAGTGTGTGTGAATGAGGCGGTATCCACATTCTCAACTTCAAGTCATTGCAGTTTATCTTTTCCCAAAAAAAGGGTTAGCTGTTGCATTTCATAAACTAACCGAAGTTCAGTCTACTGATGCAGCATAAGAGATGTAAAAAAGAAAAGAGGGGAAAAAAAAAAAAAGAAAAAAAAAAAAGGAAAGTCGCTCTTTAGGGCTTTTTATTTTAGGGAAACACTGACGAATGTTCAGAGCTCCCGTTCTGAGTGACGCTTTTCATGATCTCGTTTCATCAAAGCGCCTTTCCTTCCTTAATATTGTTCAACTGTGAATGTAGAAATGGGGGAAAAACAAAACTCTTGCGTTAGAGGGAATAGAAATAAATTGTCAAACAAGATTTCAGGCTTAAAAAAAAAAACCACACACACGAAAAAAAAAAAACAACACAAACACAAAAATACAAACGTTAAGTGCTCCGAATTGGCAGTGAGAACGCAAAGGGAAAGATCTCTCCTGACTTGTACTGTAGCAGCCCGAACACCCACAAAAATTGTGCCAAAGAGTTGAAAAACAAAATAAAACTTCAGGTAATATTTTGGATTGCAAAATGAGGATAAATTCAATGTTCAAACAAAATCTGATAAAATGCCATTTGGAAACTGCTTGGCCTTTTGTGCTCTTTATTTGATCAAATTTAACGTGGTATTGGTCTCTTGCTGCACTTCAAAAACAAAAAAAAAGGAAAAAAATTTATATAAAATATATATATACTGACTTGAGCTTACACAAGACGGCACTTGTAAAAGGTTATATTTTTCCACTGCAGTTGAAGATTAATAAAATGGTGTCAAACATTCCCCAATACTTCCTTTTTGTATTCTTGGTCTTTCCAGTAAAAGGGGAACCCATAGACAATTTTTTTTTTCTCAAGAGAGTAGTAACAGTCTGATGGGCAACTCAGAAATGAAGTGGCTGTTTACTGCTTCCCCAATCATGCAACGTCTTATTTTCACATGAAGGATCAGAATCTCTCGTTTCCTCTTGAATGAGACTTTTGCTTTTGAGGAATAGTCCCTTGTTTATCCTAGATTGTCAGCAATAAGCCAAGAAAAAACGGAGGAGGTGCAGGATTTTGAGACTATTTTTCATTTCATTTTTATTAATGCAGCTGTTGATACTACCAGCATTTGAATCTGCAGTTTAACATGGGCATTTTTAAAAGCTGCTTGTGGGAGGGAGAGTAGAAAACCTTAGCCAGTATTGTTTTTTGGTTTTTTTCTTTTCTTTTTCTAAAAAGCAGGCGAGGATCTGCTTTATTCCCCAATTTCCTTTTCCCGATCTGATCCTAGGATCCATTACAGTGGAGTCCACTTTCGTTGCCCATCTGCACTGCAGCATCCACACTAGCTCTTGTACAGGGTATCAGATATGTGCCTTTCAGTGCTGGGTTCAGATTGCAGTCGAAGTGCCGACTTTGAACCAGTGTACAAAAAAAAAAAATAAATAAAATAAAAAATCCCAGGTGTTTAGAGGAGAGGAGGAGCTCTGGGAACTGGGAGAGCCAGCCAGCTCCGGAGCACGGACTAGGGAGAGGCCTGGGTCACATTTCTAGTAATGCCTTTTCTTTTTATTTTGTTTCTCAAGGCGGGGTGGGATTTCCTAAAAAAAAAAAATATAAAAAAAAGAAAAAGCCATTCCTGAAGTTGGGGAGGGGGCGTGGAGGGAAGAAATCTGATCATTCCTCAGTGCTACCTGTTTCTGTCCTGTGTGGCTGTTCAGCTGTAGACAGCAGGAGAATAAAGTACACTGAGACAGTAGTGGAATCAAACCTTGTGTCTGTCCTGTTTGTTTTGGGGCTTTTTGCTGGGCTGCTTTTGGTTTTGTTTCGGGGAACAAGTTCGCAAAAGTAACGGCGGCGGCGCAGGCTTTACGTGAGCGGTGAGCGGGAGCCAAGCCGGCCCGCGCGCCCGCTGCCTCCCCTGCGCCGCTTCTCCCTTAATCCTGCTACTGCTGCCTGCAGAGGGAGGGCCAAAGACCTATTTTATATACTTTTTTTTTTTTTTAAGAGCTGGTTTCACTGCTTGGCACATTTAATTAATAGAATAAAGCTTTGATTTTTTTCTTTTTTTTTTTTTTTTTTCCACACAGAGGAGCTTAACAGACAACCCCCATGTTGTGATCATGCATGGTTTCATTAAATAAGCAAGTGAGTAACTGTTTGTAGTGCGAGGCTTTGGGCGTGATGAAGGTGGTGTGGCGAGCGGTAGCTCCGCTCTGGCCCTTTGGGTCCTGCCCTTTCCTTCTAAACTAACCCCGGTGCAGGTGGGGGAAAAGTTTAATCCCCAAAAGTGCCCGTTAACGCAATCCTGAAATTTCAGCTCCGAACTAAGTTCCTTTATTGACTTAATTTTGTCAATTTGTCAGTCGCGCCTAGCGGAGGA